CAAATAAATAATAAATACATTAAATAATAATATAATAAAAATAAATAAAATTAATATTCTACAACATTTTCTCCTTAGTATTGAGCTCCTGCGAAATTCTCCATATTTTGAGAAAGTTGTTCTCTACATTTTTGAATAAAATAATCACAGTCTACACTAGTTAAATGATATAACCAATTAGGAGTAATATATCTAAATTGAGGAATTGGAAATTCTCCAAGCACAGACAATAATCTCTACGCTCTATTTGCAACAGTTAAGAATCGAACACCATTTTGACCAGTTATTTGTTGAACTTCTTATCTCAGTTATTTCATAATTAATTGTCATTCAACAAGATCTTTTGATAATAATGACCAGGATTTCAAGTATGCAAAGAGTCGTTATCCATTTGTTTTTGCAGTATCAATGGCAATACTTACAAGAGATAAAATATCTCCTTTATCATATAATTCAAGGTCAAGGTCAACTTCAGCATAACATGCATCTTCAATATATTTGTTAAAGTTTTGAGGTCGTGTTCGTCGGTAGTGAGTAGGAATTGTTAGAGAGGTTTGTTGTGAACTACTTTGTACAATAATTCGTGTAGAGGTCATTTGTATATTGACAGAAGTGTAATCTAATTGTAAACTTTGATAAAGTTCTAATAACCTAACACGTTTAGTTTCTGAAAGTTGAAGTTCCATGATTTGTAAAATTTTTAGAACTTAAGAAAAATAAAACCCTTTATATAATAAAATTTGTGTTCAGGTGTTTAATTAAACTTTGACTAATTTGAGGTGATTATCACACAAGGTTTTACAAAATGCCTTTGTTTATAATGTTTTAATCTCTCTGCATAAACAGGATTAGGTAATGTATTACCAATTTTATCCCTTATCAAGTAAACCTTATTACCTAACTTCTTTTCTATTTTAAACGGTCCTGTCCATTTAGGATTAAACTTTTGTCTATGTACTTGTCTTTTAGCAGAATTATATAATAATACGATATCATTTTCGTGATACTCATAAGCTTTAGCCAAATGTTTTTGCCTTTCTTTTTGTAACTCTTGTGCACTTGTTACATTTCTTGAAGAGATTATGAGTGCATCAGTGAAGGCTCCTATTAAAGAACTGATCCTTTGTTCTAAGGCCTCTTCATAAGTTAAAACAAAATGATTTTTCTTATCATTAAACTCAATATCAATAAGAAGTTGTGCTTCTCTTCCATGTATCAAATAAAAAGAAGTATACTTTGTTGATTCATGCTTTAGGGTACGATAAGCAAAAAGTACTGAAGGTATCAATTGATTCCAATTAGACTAACTGTTTTGTAAACATTTTGCAATAGATCTACACAAGGTTCCATTGAATCATTTTGTCAATCCATTCGTTTGAGGATGGTAAGACGATGTCAATTTGTGTTGAAATCCTATTTTCTCCTTTAAAAGTTTAATTGTATCATTTACAAAATGAGCACCTCTATCAGACAAGACTATAGATGGGGTTCTATGTCGACAAATGATTTTCTCATAGAGGAATCGAGCAGCTTCTTTAGCTGTTGCTGTTTTTACGGCACGTGCTTCAGGCCATTTGGTGAAATAATCTGTTGCCACTATGATATATCTATTTCCATTTTCAGTTGTTTCCAAAGGTCCAACATAGTCAATTCCTATTTGAAAGAAGGGTCGAATAACTGGTATAGA